ACTTCCTTACGCCTATCGTCTTTCCTGGAGAAGAATAAGCCTACAACGAACATTCTCCATCTGTCCTGAGTATTCCTTTCCAGTTATTTCCGGTTGCTATTCATCCTTTTTTTATCTGCATCCAATTCTCAACGCAGTGTGTACTTGGTTTTCCTCCTTTTCTTTTCCCTTCACGAATCCAAGTTAACTCTTGCCTCCTGTTATAGTTTGATGGTTTCCATCCGCCTCTAACGTCTTTTCCAAATTTCCTCTTCAGATGGAAGCTCGTTTGTTCTCTCCTTCAGTAGGTTGTTACTGATAGTATCCAATCAACGGACATTGAGTATCCTGCATAGTCACATAATAAATCAATTTTCTCTGACAAAATTCATCATTTCTTCATTTCTGTTGTTCTTACAATTAATCTCTGTTTACATCTTTATTCTCTTAAATTCAACCTTCTCAACCTTCTATTGTCAGGCCTTCCACTTCTGATGGGTGTTATATACTACTTATATCGACAGACATAAATAGCATATACCACAATCGTCCTCTTTTTAAACAGTTGCTCGTGTAGTTGTTCTATTCTCTGTGTCATTTTTTTCCTCGTTACAGTTTTCTACCATACTCTCCGTCAAAATGTCTAGTATTCCGGCGTTTTTGACCACCGTAGCAATGCCAACTTGCTGTGCCATCTAAATTCGATATTCTCCTAACGGTGTAACATACACCATCACATATATTATGGTACAGATTCCTTATTGATGAGATTTATCATTCGTAAACAAATCATATGTGTATTTACTTGTTACTTGTTAGTCAAATATATTTCATGTTATTGAATGTTTAAAGTTCATTCTTATGATTGATTTACTTCTAATATAAATACAATGAGAATAAATTGGTTACTATGAAATAAGCAGAATGATTTTATTTCTTCCTCTTCTTCTTACTGTATTATTTATGGATATTGAAAATTGTCATGCAATTCAACAAAACAAAACGTATTTTCATCCATTTTCAGACCAACTAATCACATTTATCAATAACCATGTAAGTATAATGATATACTTTAAATAATATCAGAAGGGAGTTTTGTGGAGATTTTAGTAATTTAAGCTAGATCACCATGGAAAACCTGAAAACACTGGATGACTGTTTCTTTTTTAGTATGAGACTCTTCAATAGTGCACATCCACGTTCCAGCCCGTGAGATTCGAACCTAGGGCCTATCGGTTTCCTAAGCGAACAATTAACCTCTAGACTATTGGATGTGCACTGCTGAGGAGTCACATACTAGGACGAAAAAGTCATCCAGTGCTTCCAGGTGGTCTAGTTTTTTTTGACTCATGAATTCAACGATTTAATTTTCAAATATATCTATGAATACATCTTACTGAATAGCTCAGAAAACAACCTTAGATCTAAGCGATGTTATCCACATAACCAGTTATTACTTCTCAATTCACTTCTCTATCTATCTAATCTATTCAAAATATTAAGTTAAAGCTTAAAGTCTATCGGTTACTAGTATTAAAAGATTCACTGAAAGATAGCTTCAAATCAACCATATGAAACAACAGTTTTCAGTATGAATCGATAGGATTATGATTTATTCATATGTACAGTGGAAACTATTGAAGTTGGATTGCATGCAAATGGTTCCGTTTATGGATGCCGGCTCAGTGGTCAAGTGGTTAAGTGCTCGGGCGCGAAACCAGTTGATCCTGGGTTCGAATCTCACAGAGGGCGAGGTCGTGGATGCGCACTGCTGAGGAGTCCCACAATAGGACGAAACGGCCGTCCAGTGCTTCCAGGTTTTCCATGGTGGTCTAGCTTCAACTGACTCATAATCTTAACCACTGAAATTTAAATAGAGCAAGAACAAATATTGATACAGAATAGTATGAATTCATAATATTTCAAGGTTTCTCATCAGCTGCTTACAAACCAAAAAAATGTGACAGAATTTGTTTTACATTGAGATAGTGTGAAACAATTGAGATAAATGAATGTAACTAACTGAATTACAATAATAATTATATGCTAGTACAGGTCAGGGAATTAATTCGAGGTGGGTGGTGTAATAATGGAATTGAATAATGATTTGATGGGTTACGTAATAATAATGAAATAGAATTTGAAAAAACAAACATAATTTAAGAGGTTCAGGTGGTGGAAATGTGTGAATAATAATGTGGTTTAAGAATTATGTAATAGGGGAGGAGTATAAATATTCCTCGTCTGCAACAATAGCGAACACGCCATTAAGCTATTCGATCTATATAATGAAGCACACGAGGACATAGAGTTTACTATGGAACAAGAAGCTGAAGACAAATTCCATTTCCTTGATGTTGGGATCCGACGAACATCTGATGGTAAATTACATAGACATATTCGCCATAAAAATACCCGGAGTGGTCTATATCTCAATTACTACAGTTTCTGCCCAATGATTTACAAAAAGGGTATTGTACGAACCCTTTTTGACCGCGCTCAAAAAATTTGTTCAACAGAATACCTTGATGATGAAATTAATCTGATTACTAATGTTCTACGTGATAATGAACACCCAATGAAATTCATCCAGAAATATGCAAAAACCAATCCTCGGACAAAGTACGATGGAGTAGAAAAGAAAACTTCCTTCTTACATTTACGTTTCAAAGGTGATGAAATTGCCGGATTAATTAGTCACAGATTAAATTCTGCGTTGAAAGGGGCCTACGCAGCAGCAAAACTTACGACAGTATGGCAAACGAACTGCTCACTTCAACAAACCAAAATCGACAAGCCCTCTTTTCTTAGTAGCTCCAACTGCACATGTACGTGCCAAAGCACATACATTGGAAGAACTGAGAGAAGAGTGCATGTCCACATTTCTGAGCATGTTCCAAGAAACTTGAGGCTGTGAGGGACTAAGGCTTTCAACGGCGCAATAGCTCGGCATCTACTTGATACCGGGCACACCATCGACATTCCGCATGCTTTCAAAATTACCAATAGACAAAGAAGTACGACCACCCTCCGTTTTACCGAAGCCATTGCGATCAAAAAACTTCAACCGGATTTATGCATTCAAAAAGAGACTTAAATAAACTTACCACTACCCTGGTAATCCTCGGTAGATTTAAAGAAACTTGAAAATAAGTCAGCGATAGCGTTACATGCGTTAGAAACAGGACACAAGATTAATTTTGAAGGGACCAAAATACTTCAGAAAGGTTTTAACACCCATAAAAAAAGATTGACAGCAGAAGCTCTGCATATATGGGCGAACAAGAACAGCCTGAACCGAAAAGATGGTATTCAAATGGCAACTACCTGGCAAATTCCGTTTGACAAGTAAATTTGGAACCTATCTCTTGTTTAAACCTGTTTTTAATATCACATGCATCGTTATTATTATTGAAAGAACTGAATGAGTTTCTAAACAATACAATTTATGTTTTGACATGCACATCGATCTTTCATTATCAAGTTTTTCATCCTTGAACTTGAACTTTATTTATTCCTTCATATCAATCTCTCACACATACATACATACATACATACACACTCACACACATACGATTTGTTACTCAGTTAAGTATTTCCATGTAGTTGAATTCGTCACATGATTTGTAGTCAACTGACTCATTTTATCCTATTTTACAAAAATCAACACCCAAATATGATTGGTTTAACACAGTATAATCCTGATTGTTAAAAGCTATATATTTCTTTGATAATTTTGATTTTGATTATTACCCTGAAGAAGTCCAGACAAGTTAGCTGGACGAAACGTTGGAATTAGTTAAATTTCAATCACTGAGACTATTTCAAATATAATTTTCACATATAATGAATCCTTGTTTCTGTTTTTTGTTTTGTTTTGGTTATTTGGGTTATTTTATTCATTTATTTATTTTGTGTTATACTCCCCCCCTCTATTACCTAATTCTGAAACCATATTATTATTCACACATTTCCACCACCTGAACCTCTTAAATTATGTTTGTTTTTTCAAATTCTATTTCATTATTATTACGTAATCCATCTTACCATTATTCAATTCCATTATTACACCACCCACCCTGAATGAATTCCTTTTGACCTCTGACCTGTTCTAGCATATATCTACATAGTTATTATTGTAACCGAGTTATTTATACTCATTTATATGAATTCATACTATTCTGTATCAATCTTTGTTCTTGCACTATTTAATTTTGATTGGACTACCACAGTCACCAGTTAATACATAATCATATGTTTATGTGCTTAATTGAAGTGTTTATTTATTCAAAACTGTTATAACTTATGATTTTATGACCTTGGTTCTTTGTTTTCCACCCCGTTGACAATTGTTGTATATTGTGCCCTGTGTCCTATTAATGTATGATGTAACGATACTGCCAATTAGAGAACAGTGATAGATCGATCGGACCAAAAACGCATGAAAACCCGTACAAGAAGTCTCTACTGGTCCTGCTTCCTGCCTAGCTCTGCCTGTTAGAGTACAGAACACCAATCTTAGTTTTTGCAATACGAATCATTTATTTCAAACATACGAAGTTTATATACCAACCAAACAGACCACATCGTACCATAGAAGATAACATTTGTACAAGATCTAGTCAAAAGTGGAAATAGACTGGGTATAACTCAAGAATGGTAAATCGTATAATAATAGTTCATAGGTCAAAATGAAGCTTATGATAAGAGGAACATGAATATGAACAGTTTAGTTATTGAGGAATTATACAATACAAAATATACGTATAGTATTAGTTCAGGAATGGATCACAAAGGTTATCACTCATTATTCTCATCAGAATCTAACTAAAACGATGTTGACTTGTATATACTATGACATTGAATATCTTCTATCTATCTTCAATTCAATCATTTGTAAGCATATACATAATTCTTATTGGTTTTGCATTAAATTTACAAGAATATTTGAGTAGTATAGTAAATTGAACTTTGAATGATAATCTAAATGATTAACTATACATGTATTGTATATATTGTAGCCTAATGCTGGATGGAAAGCTCAAAGAACTAATCGATTTAGTACAATTGATAATGCTAAATTAATGATGGGTGTTATATTTGAAGATAATAATCAAAGAATTAAATTACGTCCAACAATTAGACATAATGATGTTAATATTAAATTACCAAAATTCTTTGATTCACGTAAACATTGGAAGAATTGTCCAAGTATTCGAACAATACGTGATCAATCTTCATGTGGTTCATGTTGGGTTATAGATGATTTGTTATATTTTACAAAATAATATATATATATATATCGCTTAGTGTTGTTTTACATGATCAGTCTCCTTGTTAGCAAATGTCGATCCTGTGCAGATTGTCTCGATATAGCCCTAAGTCACAAGGTTTTCTAAGCAAAGATGGATAGCAGGTAGAAGTGGAATCCAGTTTTACGTGTGTATCGGCAATAGGGTGAAGTTTTACATTCACTTGATGTTGTTTACTTGTATCTTCTAACTGTTATTTAGGACTGTATTTGATCAGTAGTCTCTTGTTGGCATATGTGAATTCTGTGTGTACTGCCTTGGTATAGCTTTAAGTCACAAGCTTTTTTAAGTAAAGATGGATAGAGAGTAGAAGTGGAATTCAGTTTTACGAGCGTTTCGTTCTATTTGGGACTCATTATATAAATATCGTTTCTATTTCCCCTTATTATAGAATCATGTCGTTTAATGATGTTATATACACTTTAATCATATCAGTTTCCTTTCATAGTTTAACTGCCTAGTAACTGATAAATAGTATCTTTTTATAGATACTCCTAGTTTGATATAAACCTCTCTAAGTTACTGTCTACGACTTGGTGGTGTAGAAGAGATGTAATATGGCTAGAAGCAGAATCCAGGATGCGTATTTTTTACTTTATGGGTCTCATCATTTAGATATTTCTAGGATGCAGGTACATCGACCTATAACCATTTTGTTGAAGTTATATATAAGTTTGCAAATCATTTGCTATTCAAATTCCTTTCTTCCAGTCCATATCGTCCCATGATATCTTCATAGTCGGCGTTGTCCATTCCGACCATGGGATTTCGATGTTCTATCAAGATAGTTCGGTTCCTTACCTGAGCACTTCTGTATGATTGACTGAGGCCTCTGAACTTTATCATTTTTATCTCTATCATCGATGGATGTATAATACTGGATAAAATTCAATGTCATTCCTTCATTCTTTGTTTTGAAGGATGCTTTGAGAATTCCAGATCGATAGGATTTCCATTTTATGGGTGCTTTTCATGCTTTTTTGGACAGCATTACAGGAAATTCCTGCGTGTGTGAAGCATTTTTTTCCTTCATGACCAGAATACAATAGCATCTCTCTTGAATCTAATCTTTTCTTTTCAGCATGAGCCTAAAGAAAGGAAATTTGAGAAAGTATGAGGACTTTAGGCATCACACTACTGTTAGTACCAAGAAAAGTTGTAAACAGAGTGTTATTGAATCAGATGAAAGGCTGAGTAGACGCCCAACTTCGAGGGGAACAGGCTAGATCCCGCAACGACCGCTCATTCACAGATCGCGTCGAGACACTTTAAATCACTGCTGAACAATCAATTGAATTTAATTCGTCATTATAAATCAACTTCCTTGACCATGAGAAAGCGTTTGATAGCGTGGATAAAAAAATTATGGTGTTTTTCGAAATTATGGTGTGCCTGAAAATCGTCAACATCATATGGAATAAACTGTGAAATTAGACATGAAGGACAACTGATAGATGCATTCCAAGTAAATACCGTCGTTAGACAGGACTGTTTACTCTCGCCTTTTTTGAATTACTTAGAAAACGTCTCATCCATATCAACAAATGCAGGTGAAAACAGACAGTACAACAGTAGCCTCTGTATCAATAAGCCTCATCATACACAACGGAAAAACAAGATCTCGAAATACAACATAGAAAGAATAAGCTAAATCATACTTAAAGTAGAATCTCTGGAAGATGGGAAAAGTTATGCGCACCTCGGCAGCATCACCAATAAACAAGTAAGATCTGAGGTCGATGTAAAGGCCTGGGTTGGCAAACTAAGGATAGCATTCCTACAGTTGAAGAACATATGGAATTTGAAACGACTGTCAATCAATATGAGAGTCAGAATCCACAGTAGGAACGTCAAGACAGTTCTACTGTACGGAGCTGAAACTTAGAGAACTATTACAACCATCATCAAGAAGGTACAAATAGTTGTAAACAGCTGTCTACGCAAGATACTCAACATCCATTGGCCGGATACCATCAGCAACAGCCTTCCGTGGGAGAGAACAAACCAGTTTCCATGTGAAGGGGAAATTAGGAAAAGACGATGGAGATGGATAGGACATACATTATAGAAATCACGAGACAAGCGCTAACTTGGAATTCTGAGGGGAAGAGGAAAAGAAGAAGGTCAAGGAACATATTATGTAGGGAAATAGAAGCGAATGTGAAAAGGATGAATAACAAGTGGAAATAGCTGGGGCTCAGGACAGGGTTTGATGGAGAGTGATGGTGAGTAGCCTATGCCCCTCCATGAAGTAAGTAAGTATGAGAAGATGAGAATTTACAAAAAAAATGACATTAAGATGAAACTCTTGCCAAATACTCTTTGATTTACAGTTATACTTCAAATGATGTTCCAATTCTGTTGGACTGTGTAACTGTTTTTTCTGTCTTAAAATGATGTAGGCTTTTGGAGCTGTTGAATCAATGAGTGATCGTATCTGTATTCATTCTAAAAGTAAAATCTCTGTAGAATTAAGTGCTGTTAATCTGTTAAGCTGTTGTACAAGATGTGGTCTTGGTTGTAATGGTGGTATTCCAGGAATGGCATGGGATTATTGGAAATATGAAGGTATTGTTACAGGAGGATCAAATGAAACGCATACAGGATGTCAACCATATCCATTTCCTAAATGTAATCATCATGCAAGTACAAAAAGTTATCCACTATGTGAAAGTCATTATTATTCAACACCAGAATGTTATAAAAGTTGTCAAGATGATTATCATAAACCCTATAAAAAAGATAAATTTTATGGTTAGTATTATTATACATTGTTTGAATTTGTATATTTTGTAGTACTGAATATGTTTATATAGGTTACACATTCTCATGGGATGAAGGTCTTAGGTTCGTGTCTCGCGCGCACGAGAGAGATTGGGTGCTCAATGCTGAGGAGTCTCATACTAGGACGAAACGGATATTCAGTGTTTCTAGATATTCAACAGTGGTTTAAGATTGATCGATTTGTGATTTCAATAAAATCCTGAAAATAGTGAAGACAATATCTATGGAAGAGTAATATGAATTCATTTATTTCAGAGATTCAACATGTTTATTAAGAGGCCTTGATCTGGATGGTGAACTTTTTCAAGGTAGATTAGACGTTAAAAAAGAAACTGCTGTAGATAAATTACAGTAATCGGTTGGTTGCTTATAGGGTTAATGTGTAAAATTTGTGAGAATGATATTATTAAGAAGGACAGACAGTCTATTTTATGCGTGATATTTAGTTTATCTATCGTACTAATGGGATGTTGAAGACAATTCTCAAACAGTTACAAGTCGAGATATCTGTTCACCAATTAAGGGACAAGAATACTGCGCAGCAGTTCATTCTATTCTACTTTACGATGCGAGACGTAGCCATTAAGAGTGAAAGGTACTCGTAAGCTACTACTATGTGACCACAGATGCCTTTGAAATATTGCTCGCATCTGCTGGGATTACTGAGTAAGTAATAGTGAGATTAGACACATGGTATTGGGAAATGTTAGTAAATGAGGTTATAAATCCTCATCGACTGAGATGGTTGAGCCACGTGTTGCGTATGTCTGAACACCGATTACCACGACACGCAATGCTGACTAGTGTTGGAGATGGTTGGAAGAAAGTTAGAGGTGGCCAAACCAAAACATGACATCAGTCCATAAAGTCACTATCTCCTAGACTGAGACATATTAGTAGATGCAGACTACTCGGTTGGGATCCGCACAACTATCGTAGCCAATGTTTAGAGACTGTATGTGACATGGCTCAGAATCAATCACAATGGCGTAGGTATATACACCCTTTGTTTTCCCTTCAACTGTGAGGATAAAATTACTTTATAACTTTCTTCCTCCGAACTCATTCGTTCTCCCTGTATCATCTTGTTGTACTAATGAGTTTTGGCAACATGGACCGATGCATATATGTGCCTGGTTCTACATTGTAGCTGATTGACTGAGTTATAAAGAATTATATCTAGAAAGATGACATAAGTCGTCAAATGAGATTACTTGCTTTAAATCCAGGTCTTACAAATCACTGATAGTTTTTCAACACAAACTGGTATTAAATCTGGTCATGAAGACAATATAGTTCATTCTCAATCAGAATAGATGAGTGAAAACGTCTATGACTGTAACAACTATTGGTGTTGGTCCAAAATCTACCTTCAAGTTGTTTAGATCAGTAATAACATGACAAGTTAATCGATAGAAATCAATCAGCTTGAAGAACAATGTGATCAAACAAATGTAGACAGTATTCCATAGAAATTTTTTTTATTGACGTTAAAATTATCAATAAAATATAGAAGGATAACTATCCATCACTGACGATATACTCAGATATGTGGTTACTACAACTACAACAACAACAACAACAACAACAACAACTACTACTACTACTACTACTAATATTGTTGTGAATGAGAACAGATAAATAAGGACAATCAAATGAACTTAACTATTAAATTACTATAATATCCACGAAAATCCTATCTGATTGTACCCTTAATCATCATCTCACTAGTGACGGTCTCCAAGAGGTATTTCCTGGAGTTCTAGTGAGAAGCCGTGACCAGTAGAGTTCAATCGGGTCTATTATGAGATAGTAACTCACTGATGACAACAGTGGACGGTGGCACAATTTCGTGGATTGGTCGAAGCTAGACATTAGCAACGTTGAATACCGACCTAGTGGTATAAGTTCGAATCCCGCGAATGGGATCGTTGATGCGCACTGCTGAGGAATCCCATACCAAGACGAAACGGCCATCCAATTCTTCCAGGTTTTCAATGGTCTAGTCTAGCTTCAATTAACTAATGAATTTGACGATTAAATTACTATAATTTCCACAAAATCCCTATCTGATTACAATCGAATATATTTGAACACAAATAATTACAGAACATCTTAGTCAAATCTGAAAACCGTACAGTAAATTCCTCATTTGTAAAATGTCAATCAATTGTCTCGGACTTGATTGTCTTTTCATTTCCACACTAATCATCCTTTGTTGTGGTTCACTTTTCTTTGATCTTCATTCTCCATTGATGATGATGCATACTACTTATATATGTTGATATCAGTAGTACACACCACCGTTCAATTTATATTTGTTTTTCTTTTCTCTTCATTTTCAAAAGGTAAAACTTCTTATAATGTAGCCAGTGAAGAAATTTCAATCATGAAAGAGATTTTATTAAATGGTCCAGTTGAAGGTGGTTTCTATGTCTATGAAGATTTTCTTCATTATAAATCTGGTGTTTATAAACATATCACTGGTTCATATTTAGGTGGTCATGCTATACGTATACTTGGTTGGGGTATTGAACATAATCATATACCTTATTGGTTATGTGCTAATTCATGGAATGATCAATGGGGTGATCATGGTTATTTTAAAATTTTACGTGGTAAAAATGAATGTGGCATTGAATCAGCTATATCAGCTGGTTTACCAAAGTTACATCGATAATTTATATTAACCGAATTCATTTAGATAAACAAATGAATGAGATCTTATTGTGGATTGATGTTATGATTTTGTTTCTATGTGTATTATCTTTAACATTCAATATGAGTTATTTATGATTTGCCCGATGGTTACATAGTGTGTATTGTTATTCATTCGGTATTATATGTTTCTGATTCCTTTCTAATTTGTTACAAATATCATTATGAGGTTATGGAGATTATTAAGTTTTTGATTGAGATCATGCATCGATTGATGTGAGATCGCCATTGAAAACCTGGAAGCACTGGATGGCTGTTTCGTCCCACTGTGGGACTCTTCAGTAGTGCGTGTTTGCAATTCCGCACCCGGGATTCGAACCCCTGATATTCGGTCTTGCGTGCGAACGCTTAACCTGTGAACAACTGGGCAGGCCGGTATCCAACGGTGTTAATATCTAACATCAACTAACTTACGAAATTGAGCAATTATCTTCCCTTGTACTGAGGTAAACACCTGTTTTCACATAGATTAGCTCCACTTGTCACGACTTCTCACTAGAACTCCGAGAATAAATGAAAATAAATATTACTGGATTCACTTGATAGTGTTTACTTGAATAACGTGACTGGGTTTGAAGCGAACAGTATTGAGTTCGAATCCCAGAGTGAAGATCAACTCTGATGCGGGTACATCCAGCTGATGAGTCCCAAATAGGAGGAAACGCCCGTGCCACTATTCATATTTTGTTTAAAATTTTGCTGGAGTTTTGAATGTAATCAGTAGTTTTAGTCTGTTGAGTCTAATCTGGTAACCATTGAGGTTTCTAATTACTACTGTCAATACGTACAGAGTGAGCGAGTTATTATCTCCACGTACCAAACCGTAGCTTGATGACATCGAATTGTAATTTGATCAATTAACAATTGTGAGTTTCTTCTTAGTCAAACTGTTTGATATATTTTTATTGTGATTAGTCAATAATGAAACATAGTTGACGCTTTTGACGTTCTGGATATGATCTCATTGTGATATTACAAATATAGTTGATAGAATCGATTAATCAAGTTGTAGAAAGTTCTTCATTACTGAGAAGTAATTACACTGTGATGTTACCTAACTGATTAGCTTTTTTTAGAAAGATATTTTTATGGAACGGTGACGCTGACCCCATGCACAACCCTCCTCCTAGACACGTGCTTGGGGCCGGCAGTAGCCGTAGAGGAGCTACAGACCAGCTTTTGTTGAAATGAAAATTAGGCAAAGACGTTGGAAGTGAATAAGACCTGTATAACCGATATCATCAAACTGTTATATATCTGTGCTGTATGCTACTGATGTCGATAGATATAAGTAGAATGTAACACTAGTCAAATGTTGACTGACTGGTAGCAGAAGACTATGAAGATAGAATTTTAAAAAAGACAGAAAAGAACTGTGAATTGGAAGAATCAGATAGAATATAAAGGACAATTGTTGGGAGACTTGCGAATGAAGCGGCGAAACTCTAATTTATGAACGAATCAATCAGATTCAAGATAACAGATCTTGGATTTTGGCTCGAAATTCATACATTAAATAAAGTTTTGACATTTGAGCTGATATCAGTTCTTTATGAAAACCTTAAATCAAATTCCTAATCTTAACCATCAACTATAAATCATAATCATTATTCTTCATACTACTTTATAATCTTTATATAGTCCTAGTTACTAGGTGAACATCGTCTTTCAAAGGTCGTTCACAAATTTCAGTCTCATCGTAATTATGTTCCATGTATTTTTGAAACTAGTACAAAGTACATATCAACTAAATATGATTGTGTTACATCCACTTGTCTATTTGAACTTTGATACAGATGGTTGATTATAAAGATCAGTCTATATTTGTTTATTTAAGAGAATATTTATTTATTCTATTAAATCTTCAATGTTGACCGTCTAAATATTTTCATATCAACACAGATTTATTGTGTTATGATGAGATAGGGGGTGGGTTTTGGAGATTTTAGTTGAATTCATGAGTCAATATAAACTAGATGATTACTGAAAACATAGGAGAAGTAGATGACTATTTCGTCCTAGTATGGGATTCTTCACTTGAGCATATTCATAATCCTACACTCGGGACTCTAACACAGGACCTCCGGTTTTGTACGCGAACACTTAACCTATAGACCACTAAGCCTGCATCCAACGATGTTATTGTTTAACTTCCATCAATTGATGAATGGCTGCACAGCCATTCATAAGGTAGACACCCCATTCTGATCATAATAATTATGCGCTTACTGTTGAATGGCTTCAAGATGATTTCCTGGAGTTCTAGTGAGAAACCGTGACTAGTGGATTTCAATCCGTGTCCGGTAGAGACAAGTATCTACCTCAGAAAATAGAAGATGGTTGACGTTAAATGGTTGATTTTAGACATTAACACTTTAAGTTTCCGGCTCAATGATATAGAGGCTAAGCATTAGCGAGAGAGGCTAAAGGTCCTGGTTCGAGGTCTGTGAGCGGGATCTAGATGCATAGTGCTGAAGAGTTCCACAATGGGACGAAACGGTCGTCCAATGATTCTAGGTTTTCCATGGTGGTCTAGCTTTAATTGACTCATGAATTCAACTATTAAATGAATAAAATCTCCACAACACTCTCTTATGACAACAATCAAATGTATTTGAATACAAAATTACAGAATCCCTCAGCAAAATCTGAGGACCATACAGCAAGTTCTTCATTTGCAAACTGTCAATCAATTGTCGCAGAATTGATTGTTTTTGTGTTTGAACACCAACAATTAATTTAGAAGTTATGAAACACTATGGATAACTGGCCAGTTTAACATTCTCACTTAGGAACTGAAAATAACATGGAAATGTAACATATTTCAAGCGACATGATCGAGTAGCTGAATTAACAGTCGATGAGTAAGACGATCTAGATAATGAACTGATCTCCTTCAAACTTTAACAAATTTTTATAAACTAGTTACTGATGTTAGTGTAAGGGAAATTTAAGCATCTTTAGTTCATACCTTCAAAGTAAGCCTACTATGGAAAATTCTGATGCGCTGTAAGATTTTCTTTACCGATTCAGATGTCTCAATGTATGATGAATTATGCATTTGTAGTTCGACTTCAAAATTTACTTATTAAATAACTCTGTTTAAACATTTAAACTTTTCTATGCATTTTATGTCATCGTCTTTCCGTGACTTAAGGCAATATAGAGGCAATCCGCACAGAATGTATATATTCCAATAAGTGGTTGATCATTTACAGTGCTAACCAACAACGGACAAATACAAGTAAAACAACCTCAAGTGTATTTAAACTTCACTCCATTGGACAAACAAGTGACTATCAGGAATCAGTGGCTAAGTGTATAACGTGATGATGTTTCATGTGAACGGTACTGGGTTTGATTTCCAAAGTGAACATCAACTCTGAGATGGAGGTACATCCAGCTGACGACTCTAAAATAAGACGTAACGAGCTTCAAAGTGGATTCCACTGCTAGCCACCACCCATCTTTGCTTATAATGATTGTGAATTACGGCGTCATCGATGCAATCCGCACAGAATGCATATGTTCCGACAAAAACTCGATCATTTGCAGTGCTAAACAACAATAGGAATATACAAGCAAACAACAACAACTGAATGTTGTTAAATAATTGTGAGGTAATTCATTAAGATATAACAGATACACTAAACATATGGGGAGTCTAAGTATGAGGTTTATTAAAAAATAAAACATGGAGCTTTAAGGAAGAAGTACAAAATGAACTTTTATACGTGAATTTACAATAAGAGCGATACAAGATACAAAATTATTGAATGTATAAGGTGATCACGAGTGTTTTGTAGCGATTTGCTGAGACTACTACCTAATACATTTTACAGTAGTATAAATCTAAAATT